CCAATCACAGCTGCAAACTTGCTGAAAGCCCAGCTTGGGGCCAGGACTGCCCAGGCCCTGGGGACATAGCCCCCCACTGTGGGCTGCTCGTTGTTTTATTAACTCCACTGATGCTGGGGGCGGATTGCTTTCCATCATTTCGATGGATCAGACTCCCTGTATCTTTGGCAATCTTCCTGGTTCTTGGTGGCATTTTGAAAATATTTGCAGAGTTAGCAGGTCCACTGAGCAGACAATTCCATGGCTTATATATACATACACATACATATCTTACCTCATTCTAGGAAGAATTTCAGGCAGCTGGAGCTCTTGTTCTAGCACAGTTCCACCCGCATGCCCAGTTCAAGGAAAGCTGCAGAAGTGGGTGGATTTTTTTTCACATTTCACCCAGCGCAGTGTCTTGGGAACCCCGGGGGAGGAGGGTTGGGGAGCACAGACCCTGGAGTCCCACAGCCTGGCCCCACTCCTGGCACTCATCAGCCTTGATACCTTGGAGCAAACAGACTCATCCTCCAGACCTCTGTTTCCTCATCTGTGAAATGGGAGTTGTAAGTAGGCACCTGCAAAAGGCAGGTTCGCTCCCCGGCCTCCCTCAGGGCCAGGTTTAATAAACAGAATACGTGAGATTCCGGCCTCCACCTGCATTTCCTGTGTTTCCACTCGGACTTGGTTCTCAGAAATCCCCAAATCAGGGTCTCGGTCAGATGCTGACTCACCCGCTCTGCAAAGTCACTCCCTCTGAGCCGGGGTTTCTTGTCTGACTGCTGTGATTTCGGGGGTGCACAACCTCCGTCCAGGCAGGTGGTGTGTTTCCTTTCAGACCACGGGATCTTTCCTGAAGACGTGCTCCGGTGGATGGAGCTGCTGCCTTGCTGCCGTCTTTTTTTTTTTTTGAGACGGAGTCTCGCTCTGTCACCGGGCTGGAGTGCTTGGCACGATCTCGGCTCACTGCAACCTCCGCGTCCCAGGTTCAAGCGATTCTCCTGCCTCAGCCTCCCAAGCAGCTGCGATTACAGGCGCCTGCCACCGTGCCCAGCTAATTTTTATATTTTTAGTAGAGACGGGGTTTTGCCATGTTGGCCAGGCTGGTCTCAATCTCGGGACCTCATGATCCGCCCACCTTGGCCTCCCAAAGTGCTGGGATTACAAGGCGTGAGTCACCGCGCCCAGCCTTTTTTTTTTGTATTTTTAGTAGAAACAGGGTTTCACCGTGTTAGACAGGATGGTCCTGATCTCCTGACCTTGTGATCCACCCACCTCGGCCTCCCAAAGTGCTGGGATTACAGGAGTGAGCCACTGTGCCTGGCCTTCCCAAAGTAATTTTAAAATGTTTCGTAGCCACAGGGTCTTACTGTGTTGTCCAGGCTGGTTTTGAACTACTGGCTGCCAGCAGTTCTCCCACCTCAGCCTCTCAAAGTGCTGGGATTATAGGTGTGAGCCACCACATCTGGTCTCCTCCTCCTCCACTCTTGCTCGCAGCCAAGTTTCCCTAGGGGCAGCCTCCTGCTTTGCCCGGGACAGACTGGGACCCATTGGCTTCTCTCTAGCCCTGACCCCCCTCTGAGTGGTCACCATGGAGCGGGGCTGCTGCGTGGGGCACTGGGGGTCTGTCCACCAGCTGACCATCCTCCTTCTGTGGGCAGGGGCTGCTTTGCTCTCCTGGCCCCCATACCTGGGTGTCCTGCTTAGAGCCAGCTCGAGCTGGGCCTCATAAGTGCGTGTCCAGATGACTGAGTGGCTGGGCCTGCTGTGAGGTTTCTGGTTTTCTGGCAGAGACTGGGGATGTGGCGTGTGTTCCTGAGGGGAGGTGGGTGGACAGCTATGTTTATCGGGGTCCTGGAGATGCTGACAAATACCTTAACTCCCACTTCTCTTACAGAACCCGCAACCATGGTGGTGCCACTAGCCAGCTCGGAAGCCCAGGTACGTTTTTCAAAATTCCAAATATTACTTGATGTGTATTAAAACATACCTGCATCTTAAAATGTAAATTATAAAGCGTACATAGTTATACAGTTGTTTCAGCGAGGCAGGGTACAGATAAAATACCCAACAGGCTTAATTGCAGGGACTCGATGAAACTCTGCTCACAGAAAGCAGACGGGGAGGAGACCACCAGGGTGGGGAGGGCCCCCGTGGGTGTGTCTGGCTGGGAGAAGAGGCAGTGGTATTGCCTCTTTCCATAGCTGGACAGATGAGGACCCCAGGTGATGTCTACAGGGCCGGCCTCCCGGACACAGAGCCAGAGTCAGGGTGAGGACTTCAGGTGCAAACAGGAAAACATCAGCCTGATGACCAGTGCGCAGAAACCCCACCCGACCAAAACTCAGACCTCAGCACGGCAGTGCCTTCCTCTCCCACTCACCTGCCCTGAAGTCACATCTGCACCTTCAAGTTTTATTTTTCTACTGCCTTTTTGGTTATGTTTGTTTTTTTGCTTTTGTTCATTTTATTTTATTTTTTAATGAGCTGAAGTGTCACTGTGTTGCCCAGACTGGTCTCAAACTCCTGGGCTCAAGCCATCCTCCCACCTTGGCCTTCCAAAGTGCTGGGATTATAGGCATGAGCCACTGTGCCTGGCCTCTTCTTTTTTTCTGGAAACGGAGTCTCCCTCTGTCACCCAGGCTGGAGTGCTGTGGCGTGATCTCGGCTCACTGCAACCTCTGCCTCCCAGGTTCAAGCAATTCTCCTGCCTCAGCCTCCCAAGTAGCCGGGATTACAGGCGCCCGCCACCA